AATGCTGGACATTCCTGTTTTTGTTGTCCAGTGTCCAATTTGATTTTTATTCGCTTTTTTTGTGGTGTTTTCTGGTTCGTGTTGTGTCATAGATGAAATGAGTTTCTCGGTATTTTCCAGTTGATGTGCTTAATGGTGTTTGCTTTTACAACTTTCTATTTGCCAGTTGTTCTTTGGCCGCATCTTTATGCTAATCTTATACAGATGTGGTCAAGATAATACAAGTGTGGTTTTAAAAATATTTAAGAAATCTAGGAAAGCTCTTGCAGGTAATTTCGATTGTTACCTTGAGAAAATAAATTAAATTACTTATGGTGATAAAAAATTAAAAATATTTTATACTTTGTGACATTATTGGTATATATATTACAGACATTTAAACAAATATTTTGAATACAGGTGCCCATCGAATGAACATATATTTCTAACGATAACAAGAGCTTTAAAATGATCTAAAATGGGGAAAACCAAAGGAGCAGTCTTTTACTCGGCTGCTGCTCATTTGCTTTTAGTGTAATTAAAAATGCAGTCTACAAATCTCTCACCACTTTCTCCGTCTTTCATTTTCCGTTTTCCATTCGCTGCTTACTTTCTTATGCATTTTCCTTTGGGCCCCTCTGCGGCTTGTTGTTGTTAGATGGGAAACCTTTTGGCCGCCACCCTTTCCGCCAGTTTTTCCTTAAAGGCTTTAAGATGCCGCCCTGAAAATGATTTAATTCACCGCAGTCCGCAATTAAACGCAAGGCGAGGGTAGAGAGTGCAACACTAATTGCATTTTTTTCACGCCTTTTTCTGTTGATAAAGGGATTTGGTTTTCCTCGGCGCCTGCAACTGATTTCAAGGAGGGCCAAGGATCCAAGGGGGTGTGGCATAAACTTAATTAAGCCCCAATGCCAAATGCCTACGGATGTGTGGGCGGTGGGCGTCGAATGTGTTGTGTGTGGTTCAGCATCTTTAATAAAACGTGGCCGAGAAGTCAACTTGGCCGCAGGTAATGAAAATCCCAATGACAATTTTTAGTTGCCGCCATGAAAACATTTCAATTGCGGTTCCATGCGGCGTCGGAAGTCGTTGCGCCTGATTGCCAGGAATGGCCAGGATCTGGCAGGACAACAGCTAAAAGCGAAGCGGATAAAGTCAATTCAAGTAAATGCCCACCATGCTATGGTTTCACTTCACTTCTCCGCACTTTCTCACTGAAAGAAACCTATTGAACACGGATTTCTTATTGCAATGTAAAACAAAAAGTCTTAACAGTTAAGGTTTTGCTATAGTAATTTAAAGAGAAACTAAGGTAGATATTTGGCTTGCTCATTTAATTTTGTAATAGAATTAAGAATTATTAATAAATATTTTCGGTCAAACAAACCAAAACGAACCTTTATATATTTCGTATTTAAATATATAGATTATTTTTACTGTACTTCATCAGTAAAAATAAACCAAATATTTGGCACTTATTAAAAACGTCCTTTGTTCTAGACTTTGAAATAGACTTTTTCTTCAGTTTTTTTAATCTCATTTAGCCAGTAATTACAATAGACAGTATTGTTGTTTTTTCCTTCGGTCCAAGACTTTCTATTTTTCAGCACTTTACTCTTTTCTTTTGTTGAAAAAAAAAACATAGGGGAAATTCTCCTGCAGCATTAAATCACTCTGGTTGTGTTGGGAAAGTGGAATATTTAGATAGATTTGGCACATCCCGCCACAAGGACAAACTCGGCTTCATTAGCTGCATTCGCTGAAGAAATTCGCTGGCAAGGCATATTGCGTGCAATCTCAGCATCTCCGTGTGTCAGCATCTCAGCATTCCATCCTGCAGGGCCCAATTTCTCTATTTTTCCCACAGGAAGCTTTTGCGTGAGCGTGTGAGGCTTAAATAAATAATGGTCGTATATATTGCACTTTGATGCAGACCAGATCGACTCTCGATGAATGCTATTTTTTCGATTTTCCTAAAGACGCTTAATTTTCATTTGGTCCCGTGCCCTTTCTGCGGGCTTTCCCGCCTTCCATGTACATATAGACCCTTTGCCCACAGTTGCATTAAAAACAATAAATGTGCAAAGTTGAGCGACGCTGAAACGCTCGTAAAATGGAGCAAGCTAGACAAGAAGCCAGCCAGGATGTGCCAGTATGCTTCGCTGGCTACCCCTTTTCCAGTTTTTCCCACCCTCGGGGGTTTTCCGAGCCCAACCCCAGCCCCCCCACCGTCACGGTCATTGCAAATTAATGGCCTTCAAAGTGGTTAAGCAGCAGGAGATGCAGTTCGCTGGACGCTCGCCGTTTGTTGGCTGCCCATCGAGTCCACAAAGGAGTGCCGTCGGAGGATTTTATGAGTTTCCACGGTGAAATAAGAAATTTTGCACAAAATAATATTACCCGAAAAGGAGGCAGCGGCAGCAGAAGCGGCAGCTCCTCTGCCTTCGGTTGCCTTTTTCCGTGTTGCCATTAAGTGCAAAAGGATTTTCATTCTTATGCGCATCCTGTGCATAATACAGCAGCCTCTGCACACGCAAAACTCATTGTGTCTGTGAGTGTATCTTCCTGGAACTGTTTGTCTGTGTGTGTGTGGGCTGGCAAGGATATGCCAATTTATTGCACACACGAGTGCATTAGAGTGCCAGAGTCCTTGCCATTCCCCTCTATATATATTTCTCCCGTTTCGCCCTCTGTCTCTTTCGCACACCCTCAGTCCGTCCCTTTCGCTGGGCCAAAGTTTTTGTGTTCATTTGGCGATTGCGGCTGCTGCATGTCTGGCAGAAATTACTTAATCCTTGTGGTTTTCTGGAGCTGCAAGTGCATTCTGTGACCATTTCCCTCAATCCTGCATTCCCTTCCTCCCCCTCCCCATCCCCTTCACCCGCCATTACATTCGCCCATTAAAGCAATTGTAATTGGCATTTGTTGTTATTTAAGCATTCTGGCGAAATTCATTCAATTTGCTACCCTTTAAAGACAAGATGTCCACATGTTCTGTGAGTTTCAACTGACCCTATGGAGTGGGGTATACTACGCCTTATTTTCCTGGCTTTTATTCCCCCCTTTTTTTCCTGTTGCCAATCGCCTCTGCTGACTGCCCCGTCTTGGCGCCTTTAAATATTTGCCAGAGCCATTGCCAGGACCTAGCTCCTGCTGCTGCTGCCGGCACTTTATTGCCCCCTGAGATAAACTGGATCCTTTCATCCTCCTTCAGCCTTCATACACGGAAAAACATGATTGATCGTTTTCATAATTTTATAGAATATATAAACAAATTAAATAAAACCAGATATATCTCTTCCAAAGAAAGTTGTAGAAGTAAATACCTATCAATTCAAATTGCCTTTGAATAAATATTAAAATATTTTTGACTCAATATTGAAAACTAAATGTAACTTCAAGAATACATTTTGATTAACTTATTACTTAATGTATACTCACACATATTTTACAAATTAAGTGTTGTCAATTTTAAAAATTCGAAAATGTTTTAAAAAATATCAATCTTATTGTTATATAAGATTATAAAATTAAAGATGTGCTATTTTTAAATCAAAGAGAAAAAATTCGTTTTGCGTGTCTGAAAGCCTGTATTTCTACAATTCATATTTTTGCGCACTTTCTAGATTTCTTTCTGTGCACGAGTGCAGTGGTTCCGTCTCAGAGCTCAGTTGCAGGATGCTAAATACAAATAAATTATCGTTTAAAAGTCTTTTTACGCTCCTCGTTGGTGTTGATGTTCCTGGCCCGCAACTCTGATCCCTCATTTTTACATGATGGAGTCGGGAAAGCCCTGTCCACTGGTACGTTTTAAATACATACAATACCCTCTGATTTTGTGGACGTTAAAAATATATATTTTGGTTAAATATTTTAGATTTCTGGTAATTTGTAAATTAGAGTAAACATTCCTAAAAGAATAAAAAACAAGACAGAATATTTAGTCAATTAGGAACCAAACTTTTTTAAATTTATTTAGTCAAATAGTATCCGAAACAAAAATATAACAATAAAATACCAATAAATTACCCAACCCAAATATAAGCCATTTTCTTTATATTTACATAACTTTAAAATTAAATAAGATTACCTTGGTTTTTTTAAGGAAACTGAATTAAGTTTTTTTTATTTCAGCTGACACACGTCTTCAGAAATCCTCATCTTCTTATCAAAGGTGAAAAGCTTTTAAAAATGCTTGGAAAATAAACACAAAATGATACAAATTCGTTAGGTAATTCATTTTTGTATGAGCCAGCTGCCTTGTTCTATGTTTGGCAGCTAAATAAATAGATTGGAGTACCCCTTTAAGTGAAAATGGCTCTAAAGTAAATACTATCAGACAAATTAGCAATACTGTGATTTTTGTAGAGATTCTGCCTGATTGAAAGACTTTTTTATGTATTATAAAAAATAAAATTAAAACCTAATGAATGGTGTGCTTCTATAAGACATCTTGGAAATAAAACAGACTTTAATGGTTGCTAAATAACTAAAATTTTCAACAAGCAAATGGAACAAGAACACTTTTAATATATGTAAAGTAGACTTATGAAGCTAGAACCTAAGTATAAGCACTTTTCGAAATGCTAGGGGCTTAACTTTGTTGCCCAATGTCGGCAAGTGGAGGTGAATGGTGTTGCTGGTGCTGTGGGCTGGCCCCTCCAATGCCACAAACTTGCGTATGCAAAGAACGATTGCAATCGAATTCATCGAATTCGATTCAAAAGCGCAATGAAAACGAGACTGACGATTCGATGGGGGGCGCGGCGATGAATGCCTCTGTGGGCGTGGCGCAGATAGCTGATATGCCCAAAGGCATGCGAGGCATTTGCCTCAAAAGGCAGCACAAAGACCAACAAAAAAATAAGTGAAACAATAAAGCGCAATGCGAACCAAAAAAAGGGGGCCCTACAGCATATTTAACGGCACTTTTGCGGTTATATGAGGGCGTGAAAGAGTTGGGGGCGTGGCTGAAAACAAGGACAAAACGCGAAAATAATAAATTTGTTTGTTTGCTTTTTTATTGACGAAGATTTCATTGTGTTCTTATAATTCGATTGCACACTTAAAGGCTATTTACAGGATTCGCTTGCCTAGTCCTAAGTTAAATTCTCCTCGACTTTATTCTGTGACATTTATTACAATAATACATAAATATTACATTGATTTAGTTTGTAAATTCTCACGTGCATTTCAGTTGCTTAGAGCTACAAAAATGGTTAACAAACAAAAGCAAAAAAAAAGGCAATCAAAACCGGAAACAAGGCGTCAATGGCGTCGCCGCCATTTTGTAGCGCGCCGACTTCCGTGCGCCATATTGAAATGTCAGCGGTGTGAAGAGTCGCGCTGCGGTCATCGTCATCGCGATTGCCACCAGCAGCAGATGTTGCACTTGTGCACTCCGAGTGGCAACTGAAAAAAGAGATAGAGAGAGCGGGAGAGAGATGAAAAGGTGTGGGGTAGTGGGTTACACTTTTATTAATTTGCGTTAAAAATTGTCCAAATACGAGACCGCGACCGGACTGTCAGTCCGTGTGGAAACGTATTTATTTTTAATTAGCGGCCGCTGACATTGCGGTCAAGTGCATTAAAATCAATGGTGGAAAAGACTGAATAAACACTAAAAATACACGAAACATTTTCAGGTCATTTCAAATTGGAATTAAAAAAAAAATTAGCATTCTTAGCATAAGCAAATTTAAGAGTATTTTAAGTTTACCGTTTTTTATTTTCGATAATTTATTTGTTAGTTTATTTTGGTAAAAATATTTTGTTTAAAAAAAAATATAGAAAGAAAAAGTTAATGTAATAAGGTTTTGATAAGACTTTGAGCTAAGAAATATTTAAATAGTTTTTCGATAACAATACTCAGAAAGAAAAATTCTTAATTTGGATGGCTAAGCGACAAACCTACCATATATGGTACTTTTATTTAAAAAGAATTACCTTGGACACTACATTAGCCGGCTTCATCGACCTAGGTATTTTAAAAAGGTAATTTGTCTTAAAATTAATAAAAATTTCCTAAACTTAGCAATTTTTTTTTCCTTGTGGTGGATTTATTTTATGTTCTTATATTTTTTGATACTTAGAGTAATGATTCTTATATCTATTTTATTTGCATGCTAAAAGTTTTATTTAATTCATCTAGATTAATCAAATTTGCAGAATTTGCAGAAACTTACCGGATCTTGAGTTGATCAGCTTCTGGTTCTTCTGGTCGATTTCGTCCCGGAAGAGCTGGGCGAACATGCTTCCCTCGCGCTGAAGATGAGGAAACCGATCGACCTCTGCCACACAACGCAGTTCAAGGCCAAGTCGGGCCGGTGAGATTGTCCTCTTTTGCTGGATCAGCTTTTGCAATTGCAACTGATGGAAGCGCGGTTCGTTGGCGTAGAAATTAAGCTGAGAAATAATGCGACGCATGCTGTATCCATGGGCCACGATCGTGGTCTCAATGCTGGGCAGAAGATCCACGAGGGATACCTACAAAATAAGGCGTGTTAAGTCATTAACAGAGCGACTGTGGTGAGTTTTCCTTACCTGTATCCCGTTGACATACCAAGTGATCCTAGTGAACAGGCTGGAAAAGTCTGTGCTGCAGTTGACCTGCACGAAGTCATCGAAGCGGTATGTCGAGTGAAAACTGCTTATTAGTGGATTGTTCTGGGGTAGTGCTAAAAAAAATACAATTTTATTAGTTCAAATACTACAAAAATCATATCTCATCGTCATTATCTTCGAAGTTTTCTTTATTTGCTATCAGAAGTTACCATAATACAATATAAAATCTTGAATGTATCTTCTATTTGTAGTTTTTTTTATTAAAGAAAATGGGTATTCAAGCATGAATTAAAAAGCAAACATGCCTAACTAGCCGGAACAATGTTGAGTAAAGTTGCTAGGGCAAGTGACTGCAGTATTCTTGGAGTTAAAGGAGCCCACTCACATATGCGTGAGCGCGAGACAGATGACTTTTTCCCTGGCTGAGTGCATTCCAGCTCTCAGTTACGTCCTTAGCTAATTTTAAACGCACATTACACATGCAAATGGTGCACCTTATTTGCTCCGGTTTTTCTTTTGCGTTTGGTCCTTTTTTCTGCTTTTCTGTTGTTGTTTGTTTTACCCAACTTCTCTATTTGCTTTTGATAAATTTTTAAAAATATTTTAGCAACAGTAGCGCCGGGGAAAAGCAGCAGAGCCCGAGGCATGACTGCCCCGCATCTACAAGATATTTGTTTTATATCAGCGGAAAAATAGATGATCATAAAACACATGCAGAGAAACATCCTGTGGGGCAAAAGTAAAAGCGAAAATAGGAGGAAGGCGAAACGCACATGCTGCGAGGGAAAAAGAGGAGGAGGAAAAGCGGAGGCACTGGCTGTGGCGGAGCTTTTCATTTTAGCGATATCCTTTTTAAGCATAAAGTGCTGCCGTAAATCACAGAAGCGAAAACACACACATAGCTGTAAGGAGGAGCAGGAAGGGTGCTCTGTGTATGTGTGTGTGCGCGGATGCGAATCACATGCATCTCCTGGTTACATTTTATGAACGCGCGCTGTTCCTCTCGCAAGCACATCCTGAATGGCTGGCTGCCTCGCTTTCTGCTGCCTCTCAGCTTATCCTGTGCGTGTGCAACACCAGCATCCACCCACTCCCGCTGACAACCCCCCACCCAACCACCCACTGCCCCACTGCAGAAGCAGCCACTTTGCCAGCTCGTCATATATGCAAACGGCCCGCCGTGTTTCTTGCAGTTTTCTTTCCCCGTTGTTTACTATTAAAATATCACGGAAATTACACATTTTACTCTGTTTATGCTGTGCAGCAGCAAAGGGAACACAGTGGGAATACGCGAACGGCGAAGTGCACCGGGACACATTTTTAATATGGTAATTTGACAATACCATTTTCAATAATTTTAAATATTAATTTATTCCTCTACATTGATAAATTATAATAATTTGTATTGGTAATCTTTAAATAAATTGTGTTTTATAGTAAATTCAAATAGAATATAGCTAAAGCGGAAAACTCTTATAAATTATGTAAGAGGTATTTGGGTATATGATGTTTAAAAATCAAGAATTAAAATCCTAAATAAAAAAAAAACAATCGACGAGCGTGAATTTTATGTTGATTCTAGACCATTTAAACTACAATGTTTGATTTTTTTTCCAGTGCTCTTAATGTTTTTCTGCCTTTGCATCACGCCCCCACAGATAGTTAGCCCCCACGTGCTTGGTGTTGGTGATGGTGTGGCACTGGCCCTACCCACTGGCCCACATCCGTTAATTTAAGACTAACAATTGCAATTGCATTTCATTACTCAAGCTCCACGCCCACTTTCGACCCTGGCTATCCCGACTCACCTTCGACGGTCATGTTGGCATCCCGTGCAGTTAGCTGAAAGTGGGGAGCATCGCCGGACACTTCGCACCTGTAGACGCCCGACGACTTGACGCCCAATAAATTGAGCTCCACGCGACAGGAGGATTCGTTGCACTCGTTGCCGTCATCGATCAGCTGCACGCCCTCCACCGCGAACGGGATGTAGGTGGGCGGGGTGAGGGGCGAGTATCTGCGAAGATTGCGTGATTAATGCACCTTTTATATGGCTGCAGTGGTGTCCAAAATAGGCGGGTAATTAAATAATGAAGTTAAAGTCCTGGATCTCGAAATGTAATATAGATTATTTATTATTATTTGTTTGTTTTAACAAAATAGTTAATGTGAATTTTTGCACAACATCATTTTATTTCCCTATTAATACTTTAATCTATGAAAATCATTCTGTTTGTAAATTACGCTGAAGTCCTATTTTTTATTTAATATCCGAATCAAACTTAAAAATGTCATTAAAGTTAAAAAATAACCGTATATCAGTTAAAAATAGCCAAGCTGACAGCACTTTATATAGTGGCAGTTGCGGCGAGCTGGCAAAGTGGCCGCAAATTGCAAAGAACCACCGCTCCCTTCCTTTCGAAAGCCAACTGATAATCTGCAGATGTGTGTCGTAGGCTTGGGTTAAAAGCTTTCAAAGCCATCAACGCAAACCGGCCAGGAAATGGAGAAATCGTTTCTCTTTTTCGCCACTCGCAGACAAGTGGCTTACATGCACTCAACCTTAACTGATTGCCAATGTGGGTTCGACGTCGGGAAAACCGGGAAGAGTGGGCGCATGGATCGGTGAAAAAAGGGGGAAAAATGGCCAGGAACTAAGAGCTGAGGGCAGCCCTTTAATTTGTTTTGTATTGTGGATTGATGCTCATTAATCCCACAAATGCCTCAAAACATGTAAAAAGCGGAATCCACAACAAAAAGTGTTCAAGTGGAAAACTTGTCCAACGCACCCACACACACACATACCCACAGAGGCCAAGTGGTTTCTCCTACTACAAAAAGCCACATAAATAAAATCCAGGCGAAGGCAAAAAAATCGTAGCCTACTTTTGTGAGCTGCTGTAGTGTTGATAAGTCGCTTCGAGCGCTACTTGTTAATAGCCATGATAGAAAAATGAGGAGACCAGGGATAGGGGGCGGGGCTACGGGGCTGCGGGGTCTGGGGACCGATTTCGCATTATTTGCGGCTTAGGCGGTAACTGCGGTAGCAAATCAACAAATTTGATAAGCAATATAAACGGCAACCGCCGCCGTCCTATGCTCGTTACAAGGGGATTTGTTTGGGCAGCGGCTGAATAATGCTTGAGTTTCTCTCTTTGGGTTTTTGTTTGGTCCCACACACCATAAAAAGGCAAACTAAAATGCACATAAAATTAATTTTACTAAAGAAAAAAGAGATTCGTTTGCGTTCGGGTGTTAAAGGCAAACAGTAAATTGGCTTTAGTAAATTACATTTTTATTTTTACAGTGAAAATTTGGCCAACTTTGGCCAATTAGTGCCAATGTCAAAACATTCATGATGCCTTGTCAAAGAAGAGGTTTTAGATTTTATTACAAATATTGAATAATAAAAGTTTTTTTAGCTGCTAAAAAATCCTTGAACTGTAAGCCGTTGGCAATTAGTTGCCCTAAAATGCAAAGAAAAGAAAAATGTTGCAAGTTATTTGTGAACTTCTGGCGCTCTTTTCGTTGCACTAGTGTTTGCCTTAATTTGCATTCGGTTGGCAAGTGCAAGTGGAATTGCAATTTGCCTCCAGTTGACTTTTACGTGCTGCTGTCTAATTAAAACTTTCGTTTGCCCCATGGGACTCGCTAACTGACTCGTTCCCTTTCTTCACTTCTGCCAGCTTTATTCGCTGATTTTCTCTGTGCGCGGGAGTTCATATATGTTATGCCCGCTGTTGTCTATGTGCTCTACTCATTTTTAATTAAGCAAAACGGTCTTAGGGCACTGCGGAATTTTAATTTTCACATCCTTGTCGAAGGAGCCGACGATAATAAAGTGTCATCTCGCAACTTGTTGTGGCCAACTTAGGGTCAAATGGCCTTTTAATCATCATATTTGGCCTCGCAAGCCAAACTACTTTATGTGCTCTTTTGGGCAATTAATTTGTTGTTTGTTCTTTGGACCGCTGCAAACGATGTGTGCATAAATACTAAAGGCCGCTTAACGGGCAACTTGTTTGAGAGAACGTTCAATGGGTCCTAGAGTTCTGTTTCGCCAAACATTTAAATTAATTTGCCAACCCAAATTAATTTATTTAATAATTAATTGAACAAGAAAGTCGGCCGGGCCGACAATGAACTTATTTATGGGTGCGTGTGTTTCGCTTGCAGGGATAAGCAATCGGGGGTCAGAGGTCACGGGGACCATGACCCAGATTCCAGTGCATCTGACAGATGCGTGTTGAAATAAGTATCATAAATTATGGGCAGGGAAAGCTGGCCTCAAAATTATCAGGTTCAGCTATAAAAGTATAGCATAATATTTGACTAATGACATCGTTGTATAGTGCTTGTTTGACATACTAAACTGGATTGGTATCTAATTGTTTCGTAATTTCCTTCTCGGAATCAAATGTTAATTAAATTTTATTTTATTGATTTTGGCTAACTTTTCTTATTGAACTTCATTGGACGCATCATTTTAAGGCTTACCCAAAAATAGTCATTTGATGCGCCATATCCATACTTACCTAAAAAACTCCTTTCCGTTTTTGTACCACTTAACCGAATTTAACGTGTGACCACTTATGTCGTAGCTGCAGGATAATGTCACGTTATCACGAAAATCAACAATTTGTGGCACATTGATGTCAGTCACACGTAGACACTGAATGCGCCGCACAACTGGCAGGGTGGAAATGTTTGGATTTTCCGGGGAGGAAAAGAGCAGAACAGAGGGGAGAATGTTAGTCCCATGCAGCGAGATGAAAAACGTCAGATAAAATGATGAGAAATGCCATAAAAATGGTGAATAAAAAAGAATAAATACGAAAAGCTGGCAACGAAATGAAAATGTTTTGCATTCGTCTGCTTTAAATTGAGGCATTAAACCAGTTCCACAGAATCTCGACTCCCTGTCAGAGATTGTGCGGTAATAACAAATTATAATTTTATTCTTTTTTGGAACGAAGAGGGTTCATACTGATTTTATAAATGATAAAGGAGTGGCGAGTATATAGAAAACTTATTGGGAAGATCAATATTCTTTCTCGATTTGGTTAAAAAAATGTTTAGTCTGTTTGTTTTATTAGATAAGTAAATAAAATTAATACATAAATTATATATTTTTTTGCTGTTTACAGGCATGCGTTATTTAAAGTTATTCCGTAAAGTATATCATTTATTTTTAACGAAGCTTATGATTTTTCAATTTTTTTTTATTAAAAAGGAATTTCTGCAGATTAATTCCTTACATTACAGAACAAATTATCATATCCATAAATAATATAAAAGTGAAAATCCAAAATACATAAAATTAACTTAAGGAAGGATTATTTTATCAAAATAGTATAACTTCTCAGATCTTAAAGGTTTTTGACTTTTTTAACAAAAAAAAATAATATATGTTATTTAAAACATATTCATTTTTTTCAGTTTACTATATTTCTACAGATAATAATTCACGTTTTTCCCGCTTATTCTCAACTTGATTCATTGTTGTAAATTGAAAAACACTCTTAATCGCTGCTCTGCATTTTAAGCTTATCAAAAGTAAAGTGAAAACGGCACAAATTAAAGCTTGGCAAAAGGGGGAGGAGAATGCGAACAAGACCAACCGACGCACAACTCCTAATTGAATGAACTTGTAGAAATGCTGAGCACTAAAACTCAGACAGAGTTTTCCAGCAACAAAAACACACTAAACGCTGCCACCAACAACAACAATAGCAATAACAGCAATAAACCGCGCCCTGGTTTTTACAATTTGCAGAACGCTTTTAAGTGCAAACAGACAGAGCGAGAGTAAAAGGCGAAAAAAGGGAAAATGCTGGAAAAAATGGTTAATATCATTAGCTGCAATGGGTTTTTGTTGCTGCCGCTGTTGCCGCGGTGTTTTCCAGCTCCCTATATTGCGCTAAATGCCGAAGTTGCTGCTGAGTAAAATTTCCATAATCTTGGCCAAGTCAGTAGCAGCAGTTGAAGCTGCAACTGCAACTGGAGCAGACTGCCGCATGATAAGCAAGAAATCCGCGAGATGTCGCCAAGTGGAAGCCAACAACTTGTGCATAATTTTCTCAAATCGCATTAGGTAACAGCAGCAGCAACAGCAATGGTAACGGCAACGGCAAAAGAACCATCAGCAACAGCAACACTACAAGCACAAGCTACATCAACATCAGCAGCAGCAACAGTTGCAATTGCAACACTCGTGAATTTAATTTGTCGCAGTTTACAGTTGAAATAACTTGCAAGGATGTCAAAAGTTGCGATTGCCAAAGGCACCACGAGCAGAGTATTTATTTTCGGCGAGGAAAAACTCTTTGAGTTGAATGCAGCAGCTGGAAAATGGGAAACCAGGCCTGACAAACTTGTTTAAACTTTCAATAGACAAACAGACAAAAGTGCCTGCCTGATTCTGATTCCGATTCTGATTCGGATTCGCATTCTGACTCTGATTCTGAGTTCAGTCTGACATGAGTCCTTTGAAGCATGTCAAAGCAGCCGACGAACAACAACAGGAGCAACAGCAGCAAAACCAGCAACAAGGACGACAATGGCAAACACATTTGCAAATGGCAGCGGCAACCGCAGCTTAATGACAGCCGTAGAGGAAAAGTAAATGGAAAACTTCACCTGCGCGACTAAAAGACAGGACACAACTGTTGTTTGCGGTTGCGTGTGTGTCTGAGTCTGTGTCCGTATCTGTGTGTGAGCGCCGAGGCTGCCTGCTTGTATATGTAAATAATAAAAATAAGTACATCAAATACAGACAAACGAAACTTTTTTACACGGCAATCAACGCACTTGAGTGAACTTTGCTGCCTAACAACCAAAACCAGGAGAAGAACCAGTGGCTCAGACTCAGACTGAAGGCGAAACCGAGTCGAAGGAACAGCCACTACATTAATTTTCTGTTGTTTCTATAAACCACTCTGAGAAAATGATGCAAAGAGTCAGAAACAATCGCTTAAGATTTGTATTCAGTTGAATTAAAACTCGAATCAAGGGAAATTTAAAATGTAGACTACAATTCTCATCTAATATTTGATAGATTTCATTTATGATCTATGCTAAAGCTATCAGTGTAAACATACACCTCTTAGTTGAATGTACCAGAAAATGTAATTTAAATACGGTATAAAGTTATTAAACTTAATATTTTAAATAAACTTTTAAAAAGTCAAAAAAATATTTGTCAAACGGTATGCAACATTATAAGCAATGTAGTCGTATCTTTATCTAATGTTTCATGAAACCAACTCCTTCTTTGAATTTAAATTTGATGTCAATTTAATTGCATTAAAGTCTCTTTAAGGAGCGGAGCTCATATTTATGTACAAAATTGAAATCTGTTTGTGCATGATTTTCCTTAGTGCAGTGCTTGTCTGGCGCAGCTGTTCGCCGGTGGCCCACGCATCTCCGCAAACAAATAAGACGTATTCCCGGTCGGCTCCAATGAAAGTCAAGGGCCAAAAGCAGTTCAATAAGCTTTTCTGCTCCCAAGGCTTTGAGGCCGCTTTAATAGGGTCTGCAGGATCCGAATAGTTAGGAAAATACGAAATGTATTTTCCCTATACTTACCCGCCTGAGATCAAATCCGCTTTAAGCATTTGCCGCCAAACGAACGATAAACGCTCGAACAGACAAATCTGCAGTAAAGCAAGGGAAAAGTAAGCAGCCCAAGGAGCCGGAAATCGAGGGGCCAGGCTTCTATAATTTGCATACAAATGCGGAGCCAACAACGACAAGTGGGACATTGGGTTCTGGGCGCCAGTTTGGTTCGAGGTGGGAGATTGTTTTAGTTTGGCTCTGGGCTGTGCTGCTGCGGCAGTCAAACACAAATAAAGATGCTAATCTCAGCAAAGCGCAGGGGCTTCAATAAAAAATACAAAAAAAAAAACAAGAGGAACGTCGAGCAGCTAAACGAGCAACACGAGCGGGCCAAGTTGGCCAGAAAAAAGCTTGGCCAAAAAGCATGGTCGAGATTCCCCAGCTGATGCGTTGCTCTGTTGTTTTTGGCTTCTGTTTCCCTGTTTTTGTCCAAATCCCATTTGGTATGCAGCTGCAAACGCGTGAAAGTTTAAACTTGATTTGAGAGACTCCAGCTTCGGCTGCAACTTGAAGTTTAGATATGGCAAGCGGCTTTGTCAGACTCTTGGCCACATGGCATGAGAGTCACCCACACACATGCAATTTCTCGGGGCGGAGAAGTGTAATTTTTGTATGCAAACATGGCAGAGACATCGCATCGTTTACTCAGCCTTCGGAGGCGAATGGGAAACGCACACTTACTAAAATTGAAGACACTTATAAAATCGGCAATTTGTTTAAATAAACTTTATGGCACTTGGGGCCGGAGACGCTACTCTACACTCGACTCCTCATCGAGCGCCCTGTTGTAGCCAAATATTTATTTTCGTAGCTGTTTGCTGTGAATTTTAGGAGTGTCTATAAATTTTAGAAAAGTGCAAATAAAATATAGCGAGCAAGAGACTTCCTTGCCACAGTTTTTACTCAGTGGGATAAATCCTTTAAGGCGTACTCCGGGTTGAAATTGTCGCATTTATGTTTGGTTTATGCAAATGCCCTGCCATCGCAGTCGAGTGTCGTGACATTTGTCAATGTCTGTGTCTATGTCCTTGTCCTTGCCATTTGAGGTTCCTCAAACAATGGATGAACTCGTTAAAAAGGATACTCTGCACATCGTTTGACATTTTGTTGGCATTCTTTTTTGGTAATGAATATGATTTGCTATTGCACATTTGAATATCTAAAAATCGTTCATTAAACGGATAAATAGAATAATAGGGATATTCAACTGGAATTTAATTTTAACGAGCACAGAAAAATCGCTTCGCAACTTAATTGGAACGGTTGGAAGTTACTACACATTTTTTAAACATAAAATTAATATTGCCTAACGTATATAAAGTATTTCCTGAAATTGATTTAAATCAGTTTGGTTTTTTATGTATATTTCGGTTGAATATTAAACATTCTATTTTGAAGAGATGCCAGAAAAACGATGACAAAGCTTTCCTTGGGTTCTTGAAAACGATGTTTCCATTTTTACCGTAAGCACTATCCGACATGTAGCCCGAGCAACAAAGAAACCTCACCGCAGTGAAGAATAATACTGCTTATCTCTAACAGACGCATTTAAGGTAATTGAAATTATTATTTTTATTTCGATGCCAAGTTCTGGCAGTCTCGGTTAATTTTGCCTTTCATTGGGCTATAATTAAAAGTGTATTTAAAACAATTTCGGTGGCATAAAATTAACATAAATTAATGCGGTCGAGGTCGGGTCAGAAGAGAATATCGGACGGGTCGGAAGGTTGCGACACCCAAACAAACACATTTATTGCTATGCTAATTTCGTGTTCGGGTCACAGAGTAGCCAAATGCACAAAAGCGGCAACCGGAAACGGAAATGCCTAAATGGCTATGCCTTGTGCTCCTGTGTGTGTGTGTGTGTGCAAGTGTGCGAGAGCCACAAAGTTGCCGACATCGTGGACTTTGTCGTAAAAAAGGTTTGCGGCGGCTTGCCAAAGGATTAAAAGCAAAATCCAATAAAATAAAAACTTTTAAATATTTTCATTATTACGGTCGTGGCCAAGGAGTCCCGTGGCCAGGACTTTAACTTACCCAGCAGCATGTGCACGCCGAGCTGCAGCAGCCAACGGCCAAGGTCCATGGTGGCCAGTCGCCTTTAAAGTCCCCAGCTGATTTCGATCCTGGTCCCCGGCCACATGGAACAATATCGCTGGACGTCGGAGGACGAGGCGGGCAGAAAAGCGGCAACTTTGCTCTCTTTGGCCAAACTCAATGGCCGGCCATATTTTCTATTAGTCCAAACTTTCGGGCGCAAAACTTTTTCTACTCTATGCGCCACTTCTCATGATTACATCGTTGTCCATCTACATAGATATAGTTTCGATATCGATAAATGCCATTGACAGGTCAGCGGGCCAATGAGCTAGAAAAATAAATGGAGAATCCTTGTTAGCAAAAAGAATTATTTTGTTTTAAGGTTATTAAATTTGAAAACTTTTTTGGCGTCAAAGCACAAAAAGCATTCATCGCCGAACATCTGTGCACAGGGAGAAATTTAGAGAATTTTAAAATAGTTTGGAAATAATAGAAAATTCAATGCTTCTATTTTTTAAGTTAAAAAGACATAATACTGAAATATACATTTTGATTAGTTATTGTAGTAGTTTATATTTTTTGAGCAAAACACACATATATATAACACATATTTTGCTCAGTGCATCTGGGAATTCTTCTCTCACCCGCACTTTTCTGACTTTGGTAAAGTTTCAGTTTGCGTTTTTTATGAAATTTTTTTTGGATATTTTTTTTGTTTTCATTCTGTGTGGCCCCTGCATTTGTTTATTGTCATTGTCAGCGTTATTTAAACGTTGACAGTTTCACTGAGGTCCAACAGAGGGAAAAGCGAAAAAAAAATACTCAAAAATACAGCAGACAACTTTGTCTGCCTCGGAAGCCAAAAATTACCATAGCTGGCCGAGGTCCAGGCAAATCTCAAAGTCTTGGAAACAGACATCCTGACCTCGGCTGGAGGCTTCGGGCTTTGTGACACAAAGTCTTTTAATGCTCTAATCAAATTGTGGGTTTTTTTTTTGTGAGCTTCCCCCTTGTTAATGTTGTTCTTATTGTTGCTGATGCTGTTCTCGTTGTTTTGGTTTTATTGACGCGTTTATTAAAATTACCGTGGCAAAGTTTTTCCTGCAGAGCGGCACTTTATTTTTTAAAAAACAGACAGACAGGATGCTGCGATGGTTGCTCGCAGCTAAAAAAATTCGTTAAATTTGCAGGCGGCCAAGGAATTTGAGTGAACAAATTACAATTGTGATTGGACCAGACAGGAAAGCAAAAACTGCAAAGTATTATAAATTTCATTATTATGGCTAAATTTGAATCAATAACACTGCCCACTTTTGTAATAAATTAATTTATAGGCGAGCGAACAAAAGAGTAAGGTAAAGTCTGTGAATTTGATGTTATTTCCATCCATTATATAATAATATAAAAAACCCCTAAAAAAACAAGCTGTTAATCAACTCTTTAGTGTGCTTTTTCGGCTGCTTTCGATCTAAAAAGCAGTCGGAGCATAAACAACAAATTGTTTAAGAGAATTGGTAAATGGTAAATTGGTAAAAAAATAGAGTATATCTTTTTTTTTTTTGAGACAAAGGAAGTCAAAATTAATATTCAAAGCTTAACGTTTGTTTTATTTCAGCTGTAATTCGTTATCTACAATTTTTGGCTGAGTAAGCAAACAAATTCATTGTCGAATCAGTAAGCGAATTAGTATTGTTCTATCCCTGAGACGAGTTTGTTGATTGAATTATTTCTATGCTATTGCTGATTGACAAGATCTTGTTGTGCAAAATAATAAAATATTTGGACTGGATTTTGATTTACAGTTCCGTAAGGCAAGAATGCTAGTCAAACATGCACATGACAGATATCCAGAGGAAATCAAGGACTATGGCAAATGCACAAAAATTCTTTTCACATGTTAGAGACACAACAATCAAAATGACTGCATTGAATCTCGAGTATTTGACTTGATTGTTGCAAAAGGAGACTTGGATTATGCAATTAGAGAAATGCTTTGTGCTGACTTGCTGCTAAGTAATGGCACTTCTTCCCGAGGCTCTCAGATATCGAAATTCGTCTGTCTACCAAATCTAATTTAAATATCAAATTAATGGCAATACACTCGTAGATTCGTACATCTTCATATTCATTACCATTTCCATTGGCAGTTGCAGTTGTTTGGCATATCAATTTGCCCTCAATTTGGTGTGCATTACCATGGCGTATTCGCAACATGTTTCCCTTCGACGGAGAAAATGTCAAGAACTCACTCACACATACGCGTCCGCATAACCCTAAATGGAGCACACACACACACACACACACAGGCACTCACGGAGAGAGTGGGAGAGTGATAGTGACTTAAACAGCTCTGCTTGAAGCTGAGTTAATTACTTAATGGCAATGTAATGTATACACATACATAATTAACAAACATTTCATTGACTAGCTTAAATGACACACATGCACACCACACATGCCTTCTTTTTCCCGCATACATACCCCTCTCCTTCACTCCGGCTGTCTAAAATCTGCACATGATTTCCGAAATATATATGTGCTTTTCAGCCTGTCACTGCAGATGCATTTTCTATTTTGCCATATAGCTCTATTTGCATAAATCCATAACTTCACTGAATGTGCGTGCAAATTTAGGTGTACTTTGTAACTTTTATTTAAATGAATGGGCTGAGGAACGCTAGTTTTCAGTTTTGGGTTCCGGTTTCCGCCGACTAACAACATCAGCTGAAATGCACCGCTTCGATCGACAGCGTTTTCCCTTCGTACCGCTAAGGACAAAAGTTGCCGTGAAACTGACACCGGCCTGCGGATTCTGGATTCGGGATTCCGCCACGGATTCTGAGCAACTCTTTCATGCCATGGAAATAATTTCGCTTTACCACCGCCGATGCAGCTTCGTTTTCGCTCGGGAAACCCGCAGAGAAGTGCTCATTTGAAGAGAAATAGTGTCCTGTACGGAAAGAGAAATAAGATGCCGATGTCTTAGGGCGCGGTATATCTCTTGGATTTTCTCTTGCTCCTGCTGGTTTCTCAATTTTTGGGATGCTGTCTCTGTTAGTTTGTAGCCTTGTAGCCAATGTTAATGTCCATTAATGTTCGGCTAACAGAGTGGAGACTTTTAAACATTGGAAACAGGAAGTTGTAACATGAAATGTTAAGTCTCGTATAATGCTTTTATTTTACAGACGATAGATGAAATGCTAAGCGAATTCTTACTATTAGCTTAGTAATTTAAAACTTGGTATATCTAAATTGGTTAGAATGAGTAAACAAATTTTAGTTTTGTTAACTAATTATAAGTTTTTAATGGTGTCGGACAGTCCAAAATGCTGTTTTAAAAATGTGTTTGACTAAGTAAAAGGGTTTTTTTGTATGCTGAAGTAGGTACGCCGTATATATTTTGTTTTCAACAGAGAGTTTCAAAGAAAATGTGTAAAAAAAAGAATAAATGTTTTTAAGCAACATTTTGGTTTTATATTTAGGTGAGGTTTTGAGTCCAATAACGAGAATGTCCCTTAAGCCCAATCTGTAACTGCTTAGTGCTGCATTAACCCGCGGCGGCCTTGTGCACCGGAGTATACAATTGAAAACTACATTTGCCACCCAATCCTGGCGATGTGGCGGCCAAATCCTATTAGCCACTTGCCAGTCCTTGTCGTTCTTGGCCGCTTTTTGGCCGGCAGACATGGCGCAATGCATCCTGCAGCTTAAGCCGCAGCTGCAGTTGCAACGACGCTCAAAAAGAAATAGAATTTCGCCGGCAAGCCGCTTAGTTTCTTATCGATTTCATTTGTTGTGCCTGAAAAGGGCTGGTTGCGGGGCTTTTGAGGGGAACAAATGGCAAATGGCTGCAGTTATCATTCACTCGCAGAGTTGCAGCTGCTGCTGCTCTTGGCAAGGCCAAATCGGGGTTATCTCATCCTGTTCGCGATTCTGCAGCTGAAGTCTCTGCAGCTGTCAGCCTCGCTGATGTTAATGTTGTGCTGTGGTTTGTTGTTTTCCTGTCATCCTGACAAAACACACTGCCTCTGTTGCACACACTGAAGGAAAATCAAATGTTTTTCATTCTTTTCATTACATTAATTAAGATAAACTAACAGAACAATTAAATTTTTAATTTTAAATATGTCATGAGATTTTATGTATATCGTATACGAATAATGTATCCAAAATAGTCCCATCCTTAGAGTTTTCAAAAATGTGTCCAAAAACTTGTCGACTCATAAAGCTGAGCCTTGTAAATAAGTTTCATAGTAGAGTTGCACTTATTTAAACAGAAACAGGAACGATCTCCTTTTTTAGTGCAACAAAATTTGTCACTCATTATGCTGTCAGAAAATAAATGGGCTACGTACCACCCCATAATGCACTCCATTTCCACTTAATGGGTTGCAAGTTGATGGTTAAATGAAATTGTGTTAAAAATAAATTCGACTCAAATCAATTCAAATGCATTTTCCAGACTGTTCGGCTGGCAATAATTAATTTTTGTAAATGGACGTCACAGCCGTTGGTAGCTTGTTAAAAATTAATAAAGCTTATGGGCTTAATGAGCTCAATGGGCGTGGTAGGTGGAGTGCCACGCCTCTCGCCGTCCGGCCGAATTAAGCTGATTTAATATTCAAGTATTTATTGAATATATTTCGCACACTTTGCCGCCAACTTACATTGCCATAAACTGAACTGAAAATTTTCAAGCATATTTATTTAATTCCAGGCATTATCGTCGCCTGTCCTCTACGGGGATTTGTGATAGGTCACGAGGCGAGCTCGTAAACTATATGGAATTTGGCACAATCCGATTATAGGTTTGACTCTCGGGGAAAAAATGTGTGGAGAGATTCATTATAGTTTCAGTCGGGGAGCTGGAAATTTCTTGTTGTCGTTAATTTTAAATAGTATATGAATATAAAGTTACAAATAATTTGTAAGACCATTGAATTTTAGCTACTTACCTGCTTTTATTTTTTTAGCCATTAAAATTTGTTTTATTTTTCAATAGTTTATGGAGACCCTCGGATATTTGCCAAATTGATTAAACTGTGGAACGAAAAGCATGCCAAGGCAATGACAAATGTATGACCACAGCGATTTCCCTTCGGTCAAAGGCCATTCCCGTATTTTGTCGTTGTTGTCGCCAGCGATACTCTAGCGGTAAAGTTTTTATGTTGGCTTTTTGTGGCACTAGCTGCATATCCGTAGATGGCACGTGAGTTTTCCATACGAGGCGCATGACCAAGGCACTAATGGCACTCGCACACACTCGCACACTTGTCACGTGTTTGGACTACAACAAATATCCTAAAAATGTTATGCCAAAAGCCATACAGGCGATGGCGATGGCGATGGAAAAAGGGAGCAGGGCATTTGGATTTTGCATTTTACAGCACCCGAAGGCAGTGCAGCTGCTAAACTTGGCGCCGTTTGTTGCTATTTGCCAAAATGTGCGCGAGTATTTTAAAAATGCATTTCCCCACCTTGTGTCAGCCGAATAGAACCCATTTTATCCAGCACCAACCATCACGTTTTAGCCAAGTTAAGCAAGCTGAGGCAGCAAAGCTTATGGCCATATGATACTAAGCGAAACCAATAAACGCATATATAGAGCAAATTGGATTTTTCTTAAAATATATATTTTGATCATAATTGGAGCGTCAGAAAATTATGAAAGCCCGCTTTAAATGGTATTTGAAATACACAAATGAGATTACTTGCATATAACACAAAAAATATTTTATGACATCAACATAAAATATTTTCTTTAAAATATTTTAAATGAAAAAAAAAAAAATTATTTGTTTTTTGTACAATGCTTTTTTGTATATATCTTTTTTTAATAATAATATAATATTATAAAAGATGTTACTTAAATAACAGACATGTGTAAGGTTAAAGGGATATGTCCAGAGAAAGGAAATTGTTTAAAAAATCGCAAGTTACTTGGGTTTGTTGAAACTCTTTTTTTAATATATTATTTATAGAGGAATATCCATCTGAGCTTAAACAAATTTTTTTGCCGCTGGTTCTTCTTATTTTCGAGCCGTGCCATGCATGCTTAAGGTTCAGGTCTGCTATAGAAGCATGTGGTGTCATCTCGGTTCCCAGCGGGTTAATGGAGTTGCAGCAGACGTGTTGTGTAGGTGGTCCCAACATGACCAAGAACTGCCCACTTTCGCCTCCGCTGCATGAAAACTCCAAACATGATCAGGCGAAATTTACATTGAGCCAAAGTTGGCGGATCTGCGGTGCGGGTTGCTAAAAAGTTCTTGGCTCTTGATTTTTCATGAACTGCCGTCGTCTGGTGCTCGGCGGCTCATTATACAGATGAGGGGGGTTCCTTTTGGGCACTTGGCAAGACGCTCGCCACATTCCAAGGCAAATACTCGTAAATAAGCAGCCGCTGTGGCAACAATAATGCCACTATTGTCGCTGCGCCCAGAAGTATGCAGCAAAATGCGAAAAGCGAGAAGGAGCCGCGGCAAGTTTATTAAAAATCTGAGTTTTCCTCGCCTTCCACCCCCGGGCCCTGGTGTATTATTATTGTTTTTCCTTTTTTTGGCATTTCTTGCGCCTGTTTTATTTCGTTTCTGCTGTTTTTGTTCGCTTTTTTTTCTTTGCTTTGTGATTTTTTCCAAAGTCGGTTTGTTTTTTTTATACACTCATACTGGGTATAATTAACTTTTATTTAATATTTATTTATATAATGCAATAAAATAAGACGTTTCTGAGTCAGAAGTGGTGTGATAATTTCCGATTTGGTCAAAATTTTAAATAGAAAAAATATGTTAATTTTCTGCTTATTAATTAGATATATTTGAGTTTTAGAAGACAATATATGCAGTCAAAATGTTTGTGAAAATATGCGTACCTTAGTGTTTCCTTTTAGCTCCGTTTAAAAAAGAACTCATTATGTGATATGATAATTGCTAAGAATTCTTCACTAAAAAAACTGTGAGCAAACTAAATTTAAAACTTTAAGTTTAAAAAATTTAACTTGAATGTTACCAAATTGATTGAAAGAGTAGCCCGGAATTCGGTGGCGAGCGCAATTTTTATTGTTTATTTTTTTACTGAACCACTTGGCCCGGCTAGCGCTACATGCACTTGAGTTTCATTTGCTTGTTCTCCCGAATGGCCTCCCTCCCCTCCGCTCCCCTCACCACCACTTCACTTCACCACACCCAACCCGCCCGCAGACCTTTCCGCCCCCTCGCAATGTCAGAGAGTGCATTAAAAATTGTAGTGGCCCGAAAAGTTTTATGTACATTGCCAGAAAAAGGGGGACAGAGGGAGCCAGCGAGCGCCAAAAGAAAACCACAACAAAATGAAGTCGAAATGTTGCTGCCTGCTGTTGTTTCGCCTGTTGTTCTTGCTTTTGCCTTGTTCTGGGCCATTATTATTGCCCATGATGTCGTTGTTGTTTCTGCTGCTGCTGCTGCTTCTGCGGTGTAGTTCACTTTGTTAAATTATGTGCAGCATTTGCGGGTACACTTTCTAGACGCGCCGAATCGACTGACCTTTGTTTCCCACCCAACCAAACACAACGCCATCCCATTTCTCTAGGAACTTGCTGGGCGGCACAAAAAATTAATTATTATTCGCATAAAATACTGGGCCTCAAGGATGAGTTATGAATACTATTTATAGTGATTACCATTTATGCATATTCAGAAATGGGAATTGGTAGAGCTTGCGATTACATTTTCAGTTATTTGTAAAAGTTTAAAAAAGATAATTTTAGATTTAAAAAGTTTAACAATTATAAGATATTTAAGGTTTTTAGTAC